AGTTAGATGTATCCTTGGATCAAGAAGCTATTAACCTTGATTTGAAAAATTATATAATTGAATATTATGTTTTTGCAAGTATGTATAGTTGCTTTTAAAGCATCTGTACGAACTCTGATAAAACCACTTCTTCAGGCAGAGAATTCCACATGCTTATTGTTCTTACGGTAAAAAAATACTTTCCTTTGCCTGAGACTAACTCTCCTTTCTTCCAGTCTAAACGCATATGTCCTAGGTATAGTCCTGTTTGTGAACTAGGCATAGAATTCTAAGACTCCCCCTGGCTCCCCAAAAAATAAACATTAGTAAAATAGAAATTGTGGTAGCTTTTCAACTTGCCAATAGCTGTGTAAAATGATGAAGGTGCAATAGTGAGATTTTGTTCATAGAACAATTTATTAAATTGTATTTAAAATGTGGTCACAGTTTTAAAAAGGCACTTATATACATATATAAAAAGGGCAAAATAAACAGGTAATATTATATTCCCCTCAATAGAAAGCCAGTAATAGGCTGGATCTTTATTTCAGTTAATGCTCTCAGGCTTTCAGCCCAGAAGTCTAATGTTGGTTCTGCGCGTGTTTGGAGTCTGTTATCAATACGTACAGCATGCTGGTAATGCACAACCAAAGGCAGTATGGCACAGCACGGCTCTCTGTCCTATGATTAAGGCTCTTAGGAGCCGAAACGTCGCACTTATTTTGGTGAGGTGGTGAACACACAAATAAATTCACCTTCTATAACCTGGAGTGCTGTCTGTGTTTTTCTTATTTGCTACTACATTGGTGGATTCAGCGGTGTCCATCCTATACACAGAGCGCCCCCTTGGTGGAAGGCCGGAGCATATGTGCAGGACCTGAGTGCAGGGTATTCTGTTTTTGTAGGGCTCTCTGTCCTGTCCTCCCCTCAGTCTGCCCTCCCTGAAATCAGTCCTTTTCCAGCATTCCAATCTCTAGCTAGTGGAAGTTACATCAACAGAGGTGAGATGAGGTGAGGTGAGATTTAGTTTGTTTTTTTGGGGGGGGAGAGGGTGGTCACAGGATTGTTTACTACGATTAAATAGCAAGGTGAATTCAAGGGGAATTTCAAATTTGAGACCAAAATAGCCAAACTTAAAGCCCAGCAAACTTAGAGATTTTTTTCAGTTTGGCTATTTTTGCCTTAAATTTGAAATTCAATTTGAATTCTCACATTAGCAAATAACCCTGTGAATGTGAATGAGGGGAATTTACTAGAAGCTCACATTGTTCTAATGCATGTGACCACACAAACCCATGTAAGACCATATAAGATGATGTTTTTTTGGTGAATAGTGATATATGCAGACTAAATGTAATTTGGATCTTATGTTTCAACAAATTCTTTTAACTCCACCCAGTAATAATGGAGAGTGTACTCTCATCCCACTCAAACACATTGCCCTGGCAGACCTATGTACACAATTTATTGATCTTACTCCAGATGAACTTTGTAACCAGTGCTTGTTTTGTATTATACACAGTGGGAACTTTAATCGCCATATAGTATAAAGCAAATTGCACAATTTAGAACAAAACAGCTGGATTGCAAAATATATGAAGCTCAGATAGAGTTACAGCGTAGCTATATTTGCCTACCACCTGAAATTAAATTCCCCAGAAGTCATTGTTTAGTAAATTGAAGACAAGTTCCCTTTCAAGGTAAACTCTAATGTTATAAATAAATAGATTTAGGACCTCAATTGAAAAAAGAAAAAAAAAGTTTTAAAAAGACATTAAACTTACAAGAGCAAAGACAGTCAAGATGCTAAATGCGGAGACCTTTGAAAATAGAATGTCTTAAAGTGGTACCGGTACTTTACCACCCTCCCCCTCCAAAATGAGTATTTCATAAAGATAAAATTAATTTTCTGTGTTGGAATTTCACTGAGGTTCTAATGCAGTCAAAGGTATTCTAAGACAAAGTAGAGACTACTTTGTCTTAGTATTTTACCTATACTTGACAAGCACCACTCGATACCTCGGTCACAACTCCCGAGCGCAGCATTTCATTGTTGGTGAGACACATATTTAAAGGGAGCTATAAGCACCCAGACCATTTTATCTCATTGAAGTGGTCTGGGTGCACTGTCCTTGTCCCATTAATTCTGCAATATAAAAAATTGAAGTCTTAGAGAAACTGCAATGTTTATATTGCAGGTTTAAAGGTACACTATAGAAATCAGACCAACTTTAGCTTAATGAAGCAGTTTTGGTCTATAGACTATGCCCCATACAGTCTCACTGCTCAATTATCTGCCATTTAGAAGGTAAATCACTTTATATTCTTTGACAAATACAAACATTGCAATTTGTTAGAGAACATCTATGTTTGACGCAGGTCTCTGCGTCAAAACTACTGTATTAACAGGGTTAATTACTAAGGAAAGAATTGTGAATTTCAAATTCAAAATAAAAAACTGGAAATATTTTTTTTTTTTAATTACTTTGAAGTCACCATGGGTTCTCACTTTAGTGAGTAAACCTGTAGGATCTAATAGTTTTTGCTCAGATTGTCCATTTACCTTTATTCTATGTAATGATTGCAATAGGCTTGAGCAGCTCCATGGTACATTAAGAGTTAAGTAAAATGAAAATAGTATATCCTGGAGACTATCATTGCTTGGATCATTTCCTTTTTTTAAATGTAATGTTTGAAATATCCTGCTGTTTGCTAACATTTTACACACCTTGCTTTGTCCTCTAATTTACATACAAAAAGCAAGTTAAAAAAACAAAGTTAAGAGAAAAGGAAGTAATCTTATTAACTGAGAAAATATATATTTGCATTGTAATTCGATATTGACCCCAACTCAGCAATCGGGTCCCAGTAGCAGTGTCTTTTTAGTGACACAAGTGCCTTATACAGGTTAATTCATCTCAGAGGGAACTTGTTAAGAGGGTGGTGTTGATGTGTTGATGTGAATGGTTTATAGGATGCGATAAAAAAGTTATAATTTATTGTAAGTTTTGATATGCTTACTAAGAGTAAAATATTTATTCAGTAATTGGAACCCATTTCCTTTGTACTATCTAGAAACAGGGAGTTAAATAGATCAAATTCCATAGCCTAGAATTATTTTGGCTTAACTGCCTATTAAACATTACAAATACCTCATCTTGTATCTTAAAATACCCCCACAATTCCGACACTCGTACTGGACAGGATCTATATGAAACCATAAAATGGGATTACTGCCTCTTACTAAATCTGACTGTAAGCATCTATCAGAAATCCCATTAAACTCACTTTGCTTTTCTTCTTTCTTCTCACTGTATCTTCCACTTCCTTATTCCTTATCGTCACTGCACACCACTTATATTTTGTATTTCCTCATTTCTTTACTTTTAGTCTTTCAGTATCTACTAGTTCCTCCATCACACAAGACCACTTTTTCTATCACCAACCAATAGTGAAATAGAAGCAATTGAAGACACTCAGAAGGCTCCATAATGGGTCTATCCTTTGTCCCACAACCACTTTTAATTTTACCCACTTAGTTTTTTCAATCTATGGGCCACCAAACTGGGAATGTGTATAATAATAAGGTTTTCTCATATACATTCCCAGTTATTTAACATTTCCTGCCTACTTTCAGATGAGCTTGTTGGATGGGTTGCTATAAATTCAATCAATTTATCAGCTATCCTATAATTTATATACTGAAAATAAAGGTTTGCATAAATAAGGGATTCAAATAAAGTCCCTTGGGAAGAGATAGCAAATTGTGTGTATATGAATAGTGCTGGAATTACAGTTGTTTTAAGAAACTGAGCATTACCTGGAATCTTAGATGCCTTCATGACTTAGGTATTTCTATGATCCTATGCCTAGTGAAACGTTTTTATTGAATATGGTAGAGCACCAGATATGTGGTCAGGGCAAGGCCCTATCCCTGCACATAATAACAGCTGCACTCACCTCGATAGTGCAGGCCTGAAAATCAGTGATACCCCCTATTGGACTTAGAGTCTCCAGGGCGTATGAGGACATATCTTTTAGGCTGATGGATAAACTACGTAGATTTGAGGAGAAATGGGGTGAGTGGTTCGTGGGATGAAGGGGTGCTGACGGTTGGTACGCGGCATTGTGGACTCTTGAGATCTGCACTTTCCCTGCTTTCCCTGGAAGCCATGTTGTTGGTATCATGGATAAGATTTGGCTACAGATCCTCCGTCTCTGCTTCTTCTCTTGCTCCTCTCCCCTCCCCCTCGTTTCCCCACTGTTGTCCTACCTGTCCTTACTTCCTCTATTTATCTGCTTCTCTCTTCTGTGTTTCCCTCCCCCCTTGCCTTTACCTCATACTACTGCCCAACCTTCCCACTCCTGGTTTGGTCAGGGGAGATGGTCTTTAACAAATGGTGGTTACCATTGCAGCAATACCATCCCTAGGATTGGGGTAATATATGTGAAGCAATATACATGAAAGTCTCAACGGGAGGAAGGACATGGACATCATTTCATGTTATCTTATTCACAATACCTAGTTAATAGATACAATCCTGAATAAACATTTAATTTGAGTTATGTTTGTACTTAATCACTCTACTTCAATTTCATTCATTTCACTCTTCTTTACTTCAATTTCATTCATTTCATTTAATTTCATTAATTTAATTTCATTTAACTTACCCCCTCTGCTTATTGCGATGCAGTGTCATTGTATATGATATTGACTTAATGCAAGATTGGCGCCAAATAGAACTTATTGTTACTGTAGCCATTTTGTGTTGGTTATGATACCACCTTCCGCGTTAAGGTTAATTTGTGAACTGTATTGCATACCTGGACATGCTACTACCTTTGTACTATTTTATTTGAAATCAATGAAATATGATACATTCAAAAACATTTTCTGTGATCTTATACAAAAAGACATTCAGAGGAGTTCAAATAAGACATATTTAGACAAGCATGTGTATATATAACTACTTGTCTTTATTATTACAAAATCATAATATAGTTTATTAAAAATCAACATAGTAAACACAAAATATTACTTTGTAAAGGTGAATAAACTAGAAAAACACTCTAACATAAATCCTCAATAGATCAAATCCATGGATTACGGAGTAGTATTATCATTTTATCAAGACATATCCACACCTGTAACATTCATATGATAAAGATAATATAAAACATGTCATTCAAAACATACCTAAGCAGAGCCTCTCAACATTCCTGCATAAGCTGTTTTCAAGAGAGGCCTTTCCATGAAAAGGGTGTTACAACGAAACAGTAAGGGTTCTCTGACTGGACAAAGTGGGTCATTTTATTGTAAAGGGTATGGCCAGGGGCAATTGGTGGTTTTCTTCATCTAAGAGTAGCTACTTATGAATTAATTCAAACACTTTTCCGACAGAGAGGTATATGCTTTCAAGTCTACCAGGGTCCTGGATTCCATGATCACTCAGACTCACCTATGCCATCAGTGTCATTATTTATTCTTATGCTGAACGGTGCATTTTATTTTCTCCAGCACTTGCGTCATTCAGGGCACTCTTTGGCACACAGCGTGGACATGTTATTGATGCACACAGACATTCTTGAGACACCCCCATTTGGCTTTCCTCTGCACCCTTTCTGGCTCCTTCTTGCCCTGATAGTGTATTCCAATGTATTCCCAATGGAATTTAACTGGGAAGGCAAATTTGGGATAGTATTAATTGGATGTCATTTGGAAAAACAAAATGTTTATGTAAGCAAATTATGTTAACACACATTTATAGCAGTTAAGTGAATATTTATTCACTAAATTAGGTATTGTAAATAATTCACAAGAAAAATGCAAATGATAGGACAGGACAGCTAGATTGGAAAAAAATCCTTCAGCTCAGCTTTTTTTTTTACAGGTCAGCTCCGTAGGCCTAAAATGCTCATTTATCTTGTTAATTCTCTGCAAATCCAGGTTTAGTGATTAACCCTGTGTGAGTTTAAATTGTGTTACTCTGTGATGCATATCTGCACTCCAGTCCTTATATGTTGTTCCAAGCTTGATGATCTATGGGTAAACAACAACAATTAACTTTGTATCTCTCACAAGTTTGTTCACCTTTTCTTCCCCACCAGATTATCGCACATTAATCCCCGCCAGATTAGCACACATTAATCCCCTCCAGATTATCGCACATTAATCCCCGCCAGATTAGCACACATTAATCGCTTGCAATGAGCTTTGTGTTGGTGCAATTGTGAACAAGTTGGTTCTTACAGTTACATGTGGTGGCATTGCCCAAAGGCCCATTTAATCTAATTTTTGCAGTCCTTCTGTTTAATTTCTCTCTTTGCAACGGTACTGCATATCTACCCTTAATTTGTGGCCATGCTTATTTGGCACCCAAACATTATTTGGCACAGCACATCAATCCACACTCGCACAACTGGTTTATCCCCAAGATATTAGTAGTATTTGCGAAAAGATATCTCATTTTGCTGAGGAAACCATGAGATCCTACAATAGGAATTGGGGAGAATTTAGCTTTGTCCCTTCTAACAACATACACTCTCTATTTCCCTTTACTTTTGTTCCCCCTTTCCTCTTTCTAATTTCTCTTTTTTCTCTACACTCTTGTTTTGCATTTTTCTTTGTTTGTCTTTCTTTTTATCCTTTATGAACTTCTTTAGTTGTTTTAGCTTAAGCCTTTGCAATATACTATGGTTATTCTTATACACAAACAGTTGGAGTTTCACCTGACCTGGACACAATAATGCTTTCCCTCTTTGACATTGCAGAGGTATGATGTGGATGAGCTGCAGGATTGTCAGGGCTGAACAAGTCAACACACAAACCTCAGAGCACAGGAGTATCCTAAACCATAAGAAAACCTTTACCAGTCCTTAGTAAAGGAATCAGGCAAGATATAATGCCCTCTCAGATAACCGGGATGACAAGAACTTTTTTATAAAGCTCTGTAATTGGTTGACATCAGCACACTGCAGCCATGTGAGATGCGAGCATCGTGTGCATCATAAATGGAGACAGGTACATAGTATTGTGTGTCTGTAGGGATACCAGAATGCGCAGATGATGCCCCAGAGGCCAGGGATTTACCGAAATGGCTTCCTTATGGCAAAAGTACTGCAGGTATTGTGAGAGGCCCAGCGTCAATAGGCCTGCCCTGACGACCTGATGGCACAGGAATCATAACCTTGAGGATTTGAGTGGCATGGAGGGAGAGTTGTATTGCCAGTGGTTGTCTGTTGCTAGCCAAGTATTCACAGAATTAATATTAGCCAGTCCTGAATTCTTATTTCAGGGATTTGGGATGGTTAATGGTTCTGCCAGGCATTGAGTTACACCTCCCACACCACCTCCCTTTGTCTGGCATTACACTAGCTTTAAGGTTTAGTATAAAATGCTGGTCCTTGCAGATCTCTTTATATCACTATCGATAACTGCCTATCCTTATTGTTAAATAAGAATGTCCCATCCCGGCCCTTCCACTCTGCCAAAGACCCGTGCCTGTCCTGTGCTAACACTCACACCTCTAGCTCACAAATTAAAGACTTCTCTAGGGCTACAGTGTTCCTATGGAACTCAATTTTCCTCTCCATAAGACTCTACCCCAGTGTCCATTCCATAAAAAAACAAAACAAAAAAAACAACAACTAAAAACTCACTTAGTTAACATCCTTCCTTCTCCATACCCACACCTCACAAATCTGCTTCACTTCCTCTTAACTGTGTCATTTAACAACTACAAACAATCACATTTTCTGGTAAACTCACTGCAACCAAGTATTCCTGTGTATGATATGTGTTTTATCTTTATCTTCTTAGTAATTAATCCCCACTCCCTTAGAATGTAAGTTCATTCTTTCTGTTCCTGTACATTCAAGTGATCTCAATGCAACTACTTGTTTCTTAATTCGACTATCGTACATTGGTGCAGATTATGTTGGCGCTTTATAAATGCCAGAAATACTATTACTAATAATCATCATATACGTGATTGCTACTCTCTTAACATCGACATACAACCTAATAAAATCGTGTAAGGGGAAGTTGCCATTGTGTTTTCCCTTTTTTGCAATTCTAACAAAAGTATTTCTCAACTGCAAGCAAAAGTAGTTTGGCAGGTGGAAAGGATAAAGTTAGAAAAATATTGGTTTGATTCTGCGATGTGATATAACTTATGTCAATAAAGGCACTGTCATCATCGTTTACACAATGTTCTGCCCAGGCTCTTCCTGGAACTTTCATGGAAATTGCATCATGATTGCTTAATACTTAACACATCTGCATTAACTGTTGGGGGAAAAACATGCATATTTCAAAATGCTATTTAGTGTTTTAAAAGTATATATATATATTTTTTCCTTCCAATGGCATATACTACCCTCTAAAAAGAGGTGGGTTGACTTGGAATATTTGACGTTAGCTTTGACTACCCTTCTCTTTATATGTGGCTCTCTAGACAGCAATGCACATTAGCCATATTGACTACTCCTGCAATCACACATTAACTGGTCATATGAGACCTTCTAAAAGACACATATTGGCTCTCCTTTTCCACCTCGCACCAATTCTTTCCACCAGGTTTTGTACCTAAACACTTTATTCGGTTTGAAGATAGAAATATTACTAGACATGTATCTTTATAACAATGACAAAGTAAGTAAACTACACTGACATATCCAACTACACATTTCTCACAGGTTTTTCTGATATACCGGTATCTAACTATGTAGCTTTGATTCCACAGCACCCATACAACACACAGGCAAAGTCCCTTTTACTTTTTTTGAACTTTGAAATATCACATTTCTGATATTTAAACCTCAATAGTTTATGCACTCCACACAAATCTCATTGCTTTACATGGGAAAAAGACTCCTCAAAAATCATATTTCCGTGCATTTTTGCCATGGAACGATATTATATTCTCTTTTTTTGGGTCTAAGATTCCAACATTCATGCTAACACAAGAATAATTACTTGCTTGTATTGAGCATGGCAAATAGAAATATTGTCACCACCACCCTGATAATGCAACATTATAGTGGCAGATGCATGCAATCCACACATTGGGAACACTAGAGGATTGGTTCTACCTACCCAAATCATACAGTGCAATAGAAACAATTAGCATGCACACAATTTAGCAATAATTAGATTTTTCCAAAAGAGGAATCTACCATAATGAAGCTTAATTATTATGGAAAACATTTCATATAATACCTATAGCATTATATGGTCCTTACACATGAATTAGCAGACACTATGCAGATACAAATACATTTTAGCATTAAATAATTTAGGCTTCTAACGGGTTAACTGTATGTGCCCTACCTTTTTTTTAACAATAGTAACAATAAGTATTGTTGTCATAGTTGCAAAGATAATGAAAATGATGATGGAATAATTCCTAATTAATATCACAAAAAAAGTCAGGTGTTAATATTACTTCCGTAATTATTATTTATTTTTATATAGGCTAACAGATTCTGCAGCAATGTATAATGTACCAAGGCCACCTATAATTCGATGTAAAATAGACATTGCTTAAAGGTTTACCATAACATACACACTAGTACAAATGGATAGAAAGTCACGTGAACTTATAAAGTAGCTAAAATTAGGATAATATATCACTATTATAATATAATAGATTTTGAAAGTAAGTCTGGGTCCAGTTTGTTCTGAAATTTAGTGCAGTTAATTGCATTTCAAGACTTTCTGCCATACTTATTTATTATACTTTATTATATTATTATAGGTACATAAAATATGTCATGTTTCTTAGCAGCTATTTCAAAGATTTCTATTCTATTCCTGCTATTTCTATGATTGCCGGACTATTTATAGTCAAATTTTCCCTGGATGTAATTTGTTTGAGAATAATCTAGTTCTTTGTAGGTTTCCTTTCAATTTCAGACTTGACATGGTTTATTTTCAGAGTGTGAAAGGCATTCAGAGTACCTGGAGTAAATTTGGGTTTCTGTGAGTCTCAGATGTGTGTGTTGATCTTTGAACACAGAGGGTCAATTCATATATATTCAGTACCTCAGACTATGTGAAATGGATCCTGTGCTTGCTTTATACGTAACGGATACAAAAATAGCCTTGTTATATTTTGTTATAATAATAATACAAATACAACATTATAATATAATAACACTAGTTCTCCAAAACAGAACCAGCCTCTGTGCCAATTTCTCTGTTTGTGGTCATTTTGACATATTTGACAGTGTTCTGTGATGGTGACTGTAAGGCCACTGTGTTTCTTTATATTATGTGTGAAAGTGCTGGGTGATTGTCAGTGCTCTTCCTTTAAATAGGACACATATAGCTAGATCCTTGTATCACATCCTGTTGCATTGGTTTTAGATGCAACCCTGTTGCCAAAACATGTTGTTAAACTATATTTAGGTCCAGGAAGCACTTGGATTTTGAGACCCTTTTGGGAATGCAGTAATGAATGCAGAAATTAGGGACCACATGCAGCAGTTGTTTTTGTGGATGCGGATATAATAGAGATCTGGAAAACAATCAGTATTTTGATTAGAAATTCATTAGAAATGTCTGCTTCTTAAAAGGACACTCTAAGCTCAGTTTTTTGTTATTTAGGAGTTAAATCACTATTGTTTCAGTTGATGCAGGCCTAGCTACACCTCCCCTGGCTGTGATTCACACAACATCCTGAAAAAAAAGGTTTCATTTTCAAGCAAATCTTACAGCACAGTGTGTTTATTTTAGAATTTGTATCCCCTTCTCTGTTAATTGAACTTTAATTAAATGCAGGTTACTACTCTAGCATCTTGCTAACAGAGCTTTTTAAACTAAAACACACTGTGCAATAGGTTAAGCATGTATAACACCCATTTCAGTAAGGAGATTTCTGCGGCTAAGCGGAGGGCCAGGTAAGGCATGACAGCTTTCCCTTTAAAGTGTCAGGTCCTAGACTAAAATTCAGACACCTCTGCAAGCCTGCAGAGTCCATGGTACACTCACCAGGAGTTAATACACTTCAGGGCTAAATTTTCACTCGCCAATGGCTAGTGGGCAAGTGGAAATTTTGAGCCCTGTTAACACCATTTTCAAAAACATCTTGGGTTTTTGGATTAGTGTGAGGGTTGTCTGTGCTTCTAAATGGATTAAAAGTTACAAGTAACATTCAGACAGGCCTCATAAAGCATACAACAAAGTACAAAAAGGGTTAAATCCCCTCAGCGGGTGTACAAAAACTTAAAACATTGAAAGATATAAGAAAGGACATCATACAAAAGGAGATAAAGGTAGAGAAAATGGTAACAATCACTGGGGAATAAGCACAACATGTAGGTATAGCAAAAGAGGTAAGTGATCTTTTAGGAGTGACTAATAGAATTC